TCAATGTTTTCTGTGCATTTCTAAATAATGCTAGTTGTTGGAACAACTAATAATTAGTGCAAAACGCATTAGGCTGTCATAGAAAACAAACTGAAAAGAAGGTTTCATGATAAGCTAAGAAATATATATGTTAAAACTCATACTTAAATTTTGTTCAACTTTCTTGTTTAAAATTTAAATATGTTCAATATGTTCGATTTATTCAAAGGATTAAAATATATGTCTAACCATGAAAACAAAAAACAAAGAGTAGAGAGAGTTTCTGAACAGATAACAACTCCAATTATTTATTTATTTGTTTTTATATATTTTTTTTTATTATTGTTCTTGAATTGGAACTGCATGACAACTAAAAAATGTATAATTTTTCATTTAAATAATGAATTGCATACTAGTAGTATGATGAGTAGAGGGTACCAAGTATTCACTGGCCGATCACATTTTTTGTCAGTCGGTAAACAAACCAATATGTAGCCAGACACGCTTTAATTTAGACTTGGTTCTGTATCCAGACTGTCGGGTCGTTAACAACTAGTTGCCTGGCAAGCGCCTAGATCTGTTCAAATACATGTACGAGTATATATTGTGTATTTATATAAGTATTATTAAAAGGCTTGTGGCCTAAAATCATGTTGACATTGAAGCGAACCCCCCAGTTTTATGCTTCTGCGAAAGTCCAACGACTTTGATAGTCAGCCTCATTTTGTGGCTGTTGTGAGAGTTGTAGCATAAATATTGGCTACGGAAATTATATATACTTATACTATATATACTCGTATATATGTTGACTTTACTTCGATAAAGGCGTTAATCGAAAATGAAAATTAACAAAGTACCGAACGTGTTCGACCAATTACAGCGAGCGTTGACAGATAATTTGCATTTCTCATGTGCACAGACATGTGCAATGAATACCTCATTATTTAGTAACTCAATCGAAGCGTGAATGAAATATACAAATCCACTGGCATTTACTGAGGCTCCAATATTTATAGACTTAAAAAAAAGCGGCAATGAAACATTAATTTGTGCTCAAATTGTTATACCAACCTATTTAATGATTATGCAAATAAAATCCAGCCCAGTCTAATTTGAAATATGACAAAAATATTTTAATTATGGTTCAGAAAAACCGGATCAGTTGAACAAATGATGTCGATTTGGAAAATTTTCAATTTGGAACGATAATCGGGCACAAATACGACACCCAATAAATACATATAATGCTAAAGTCTCGCCAGCCCGACTCCAGTTCATAGCTACTATATAATAGCTATAAGATATGTATATTGCTCGGATCTTAAGGAAGCTTCAGCATAAGGCGAGGCATAAACAACTTTTAAGTTTCAAAATTCCACTGCGCTGTAATATTAACAATAATGGTATTTCAAAAAGAAAGATTTGTGAAGAAATGGTTCCTATATAAAATAATAATAAGTTTAATAAATAAGATATATATATATATATATATATATATATATATATATATATATATATATATATATATATATATATATATATATATATATATATATATATATATATATATATATATATATATCAGACACATTCCGACGTTTTTATATATCTTTTAACCCTTCTAATTATTAAGTGGTGCTAAAGAGTACCTTAAGAAATAGAAAATGGGCTGCTTTGGTTATTGCATTTTTTCCATTTCCTTTACTAAACTTAATAAAAATATGCTCTCAAGATAATCACATTTAAAACCTAAACTAAAATTTCCTTGAGAAAAACTTTCTATCCATTTAACTCAACTCCTTCTTCGCTTCTTTATTCTTTAATTGAGAATTTCTTTTATTTTCGTTGTAAGCATACACATTGTTTTCAAAACTCAATGTTGGGTTAGATCAGTGATCCCGGCACAAAAAACATTACACTTTGTTAAAAGGGCAACGAACTTCGGGCATTTAAACTCAATGACGATTCCTCCCTTTTTTTACTGCAATTCCTATATGTATAAGTTTGCCTTTATGACTCTATTAATTCAATTGATTTCATGTTTTTACTCTACTGCACCATATATGGTTTACAAACAACTTCAGAATGACGTCAAAGCGCTTCAATTTAACATATAAAGCTCAATCATGCCAGTGTAGAACACAAATTGGACAACAACTTCAACATCATTCATTCATATTTTAGGTAAAAGTTTTTTAAAAACCACAAATCGCTTTCAGGCGCGAAAATTGTTTATTTTGCCCAATCGAGCCACATTTCGCGGCGTGTTTCAAGGAAACCTGTCAATATTTTATCACTAGTCATATATTTTCAATAATTTATTGCAGCTATACATTCTGAACTCGATAAGAAATTCTCTTAATTCGATAAGAAATACCGAGTGCTAAGACAGAAGATTTAAGCATAAAAATCTATACAGCCCTTAAAGTGAGTTATCAAAATATTTAACCCACAAAAGCCCATAACAGATAAGCTCGCAAGTAAAATACGAGTATACTATATATTGATTTTAATGATTGATATCTTCATCCTACAACGCTGCCATAATAATTTCATTGAATATGATAAGCAAGAAGGGTTTATTTTTTTCTCATTCATTTTTTGTTTTTATGTATTTAAATTTTTTTAATTTTTATCCTAGTGTTTTTTTTTAGTTTGCAAAACTTTTTGTAATTTTTGGTTAACAGCTGTAAGTATAATTAGCAATCAAAGAAATATTTCTCTTAAAAGAAATGCAATCAGGTTTCCACCATGTAAGTAATTTGTTATAATTCTAATTTCTGTGTTGAAAAATGTAATATCGATTGAAGTTTTGGTTTAACATTAAAAAATATTTCCTTTAGCTTGCAGTTCCGGTTTGAAATATATAAATATAAATAAGCTGCTCATTTGTATAACTCCATACATTACTTTTGTCGAGTCAAAATGAGGATGCAGATATTAAAATTATAATTAGATATTAATCAAAATATTAAAACCTTGTGAGGAATGACATTTTAAGAAAATTGAAAACAAATCATCACTACACATTAATCTTCTAAATTTAAACATTTTCCGCTTGTTATTTGTTTCTCTTCATAATTATGAAATAATATAACTATTGCTAATGACAATGTTTTCTTATCTTTATGCTTAAGAGTGTTAACATACAAGTACACATTTAATTCCTTTTTATAGATGTGCACAAAAATATAACGAAAGTTAATTAAAATGATTTCCCATTTTAGAACTTGGGTACAAAATGTGGGTTAATGGCAATCCCCAGTCTGTTTTCTTATCTCGTATGCCCGACAACCAGTTAATTGGCTTGTATTGCAATGCGTATTGAACTAACCGATGTTGTTATTACTGTAAATTGTGATTGATTCCGAAGCCGATTGGCTACTGATCGGATCGCGTACACTTGATTACTCCACTTATAAGTGTTTCAATAAAAAACACTCACCACTTGAATAACAATCAACCATGAACGAACTGTTGTTTATAGCCCAGATAGTCCGTACAAACTACATATGTATATATGAGTTTGTATGTATATAGTATAGTATAACATATACTTGTATATGTCATATGGTTCTCTGTGTCTGTCGTTGTGGAGAATCTCTTGTCTTTAGCCATGTTCTTTATTGTTTGATTTATCTTCTTTCTGTTGCTTTCTGCCCGAAACATTCACAGATTAGATTCTGTTTAATTATTTACCATCGCTGGTTTTATGGAGCGATGACGCAATGACTTGCGCCCAATCGTTGTGATAGGGTCTCCCCATAATTACTATTATCCGGCAATACTCGTAAGCTTTGTCACATGCGGGTTTGCTAAACGCTAATCAAACCTGTGATGCCTGATAAATTACTGCCATACGCCAATACAGTTTTATTTTGGGTTGGTTATAGGCTTCATAAGAGATAATGCTATGAAGAATATGTATATATTTCTTGGCCCATCCTTACATCATCGCGGGCGTTCAAAGCCCAAGTTCTTTTGATAATTAAATAAAATTACGACATTGCTACCATTGCCTAAAATCTGACATTAACTAGCAGCTGTTTTAATATAAAAGCTTTCCATTCGCTTGCTTTCTGTGTTGAGATTATATTGATGGTATAGAATTATAACATTTTATGAAGTGTTTTGCTAACCATTCATCAAATTAAAGGCAATAAATTGCCGTAAAACTAGATTAGATTAATCGGGTTAGAGTGGAAACCCAACATTTTTAACAATAGGCCGAGTAATTGAAAGAATTTGTTTAGAGAAGTCATGTTTTTTTCCGCCATATTGAAAATAAAAATGGAACCTTTTTAGTTTGCCAAGAAATGCTGCCAAAAGCTAGCATTAATATAGAGAGGCTTACATAAAAGAAAAGGCAGAAACATGTTACAAATTATGTGCAGAAATTGAAAGAATTTGTTTAGAAATGTCATGTCTTTTTTATCACAAGGCCAAAGTTAAACCTTTTTAGTTTGCCAAGATATGCTGCCAAAAACTATATAAATATAGGAAGGGTTACATCAAGGAAAAGGCAGAAACATGTTATAAATTATGTGCGGAAATTGAAAGAATTTGTTTAAAAAAATCATAATTTTTTTTAAAGATTTGGCATTTTAGCGGACTATAATTTTTTATTATTCTCTTGCACCAACTCTAATTAAATGACAGTAAGCTAACAATTAATTGTTTAGTTTTCAACATTTTTTATAATTGTTCGCAACTGTGTGTATACTTTAATTAAAATGTTTTGCAAGTATTTGGAGAATTTGTTGTTAAACAAAATTACAATTAAAAAATCATTCACTCTGCATTAATTTCGAATATTATGCAAATGACAATTTTGAAGCGTTTATCATAAATGAAGCGCAATTTGCATTATTTAATTGGTTGAAAGGCACGTACGGAAAACGTATAGAATGTATGTATGTATGTACTCGTATGTAAATAAAGCATTTTAATTAAATGTGAACAGCTTGAACTTTAATTCAGAGCGTGCCACAAAAAAAAAAAGAAAAAACGCAGAAACGTACTTTTGTGTGAATCGATCTCTCTCTCCCACTCCAAGCAGGAAATTGTAGTTACCGGTTAATTATATACGAGTATAGTTAATTATGTTTCAATTGTGAGGTAAAGCTTCTTATTCTGAGACTTTCACTCTCACATTGGCGCGATTCCCAACAAAGAGCTTGTGATCCGCGATTTACGAGACGAGACATACGCACAACAACCCGTTGTCCCGTTTTTAATCAGACTAAGCACGCTGCGAATGCCGTTCGTCGTTTTATAGCCACAATTACATGCACTCACACAAACATACATAACACACACACACACACACACACACATGCATACCTTAACAATCTCACGCCAGACTAGAAAGAAATTAAAAGAAGAATCGGACCGAATTGAATCGTCGCGATTTGCGACGATCGTCGAGTGTGCCGGGCCCGAGCGCCCAAAACATTCCCGAAGTGTCGAATTCAGTTTCTGGAATTATTATCATTCGTGGCGGGCGGGTGTCGCGTGTGCGGCGATCGCTTAACTCTGAACAATTGGCGGACGGCTTAGCCTGGCACTGCATTTGATAAGAAACGCGAGACTGCGACCGACCCATAAGAGCCATAAATAATCGCTAAATAATGGCTGCACCTCAGCTCTGTTCGCTTTTATTTTCATTTAATAGTGTAAACACAACAATCAACAACCATTCGCTAAAGACAGCAGCTCCAGCCGCAGCCGCAGCCGCAGCTCATCATTTTTATTTTTATGAGCCCTTAATAAACTTGGTATAAATGGTATTGCTTGTCAGAAAGTCAGAGAGTCAAATATTTGAACAGGCATTAAGCTTAAAAGTATGCAATAAATGTGGCTGATGAATTACTCATCGCATTATATATGTACATAAATATATACATCTATAAAAAGTTGTTTATTAGACATTCGCAATGCTTCACTAAATCCTAGGCCGTTTCGTTTAAAATGTTAACGTTTTCAATGTATCGCACGTTCTGCTTATCTATGTGGGGTTTTATGTGCCGGTTTTTATCTGGGCATAATACATGCTTAGATATGTGAGATTTTGAATATAAAATTTAAAGGTTAAGCGATCTGGCCTATTTATCGACACGGCTTTCGAATGCTGGTTCTCTCCTCATCTGTCGCTCTTTCTCTCTCTCTTTCTCCCCCTCTGTAAATAAACATAATTTTAAATAATAAAACGCTTAAATCTGAACATTGTATAATTTATTCATTCTTGATTTGATTATATTGTATTCAAATTCTCTTAATAAACTTTTTACTTAAAAAAATAACATGGTGTTAAATGTTTAAAATAATAATTTTCCCTTAGAATTTTAATTAGAATTACAAATGTAATTTTATGTTTGCTTTTCTAACCGCAACCCATAAATCCCACTAAACGTAAAGTTTTCAATCCTGTGGGGCACTCCCAAATGTTATTCTATAACTGTCAATGATATAGTATTTTAAGAAATCCCCTTCAAGTGTTTTCTTTAAGTGTTTTTTATTTTGGCATTACAGTTCAATAGAATTTCGTTGTACAGATTTTCCTTTTAGAAATATCATTAAAATGAAGCATAAAGGATAGCGCCTAAAAAAGCACTGAAAAAGGTAAAGCTATTACAGACCATAATTATGGGAATAAGCCTTCGTAAAGCCTGTAGAAATATTTGCAGAGACGAAAAACCTATTTTCAAAGTGTTTCGGCGCTTTTGCATCTTGGGCGCTTTATAGGAAGTTTGTTGAATTCGTAAAAGTCTTATTAGTAATATTATTAGTTTCCCACATTCTAACAAAAAGATGGCCAAAGAGGTTTTTAAGTCAAAAGACGGGCCAGTTATAAAGATCACAAATCACAAAATTCCAATGTCCAATGAATAATAATCGGTTGTTCAATATGTGGCTGTATTACAGATTTTGTAATTTTTCGATTTTATACTATTTGTTCATTCATTCTTCATTTAAAATTTCAATTTTATTTTAAAGAAGTAAATCGCATATCCGAAATTTCAACCAATACCATTCCCCAATGTGTATAACAATAATTAAGTCTTTAAGTCTGCACCAGAACAGAATTCAATAGCATTGAAAGGGGCCACATTTCTGTTTGTTTGTTTATTTATAAATGAAAACAAACATCATGCAGCTAGTTCACGATTATGGCACCATATTCAAGAATATTTGATGCTCATTCCGAATGCAAATTTGTGCATGGACATGCAACGATAAAAACAAGTTCGTGCAATTGTTTTAAACTGACCTAAAATGTATATTTAAAACGGAGTGTAGCTCAATTAATATTTAAATTTCATTCGAAATCGTTAAACAGCTTAAAATAGCAAGAGTTTTGCGTGATGAAAAAATAAACAAACAAATCATGCTGCCATATACTTAAGCTAATACATTTATTAACTTATATACTCAAATAATTATATTAATTAGTGTTTTTGGATGATCATATAACAGGTTTGAGCTTGAACATGACAAACATTTGTCTTTTCAATTAGATGTTAACAAATTTACAATAGTTATACGTATATACTATAAGTCTTTATATGATAACAATCGAAAATGCAACAATTTATCTTGCCTTCAAAGATATTGTATATTAAACAAATATTGTAACCTTATCGCCAAAAAGTGCTCATAAAATCGAAATCTGTTAGATTAGACAAAGCCATGGAGAGACCGCCAGACAAAGCGACGGTGCTAAGGCGACGAACAAAACAAATCTATCTGCTAATGTGGGCTATATAAATCGTTAACGAATATCGCAGAATGTTGTTTACAAAATGAACCTCCAGCAATAAAAAAATAAATGTTAAAAATTTCCACTTCAATTTGGTGAGCAAACGGCTTAAAATTGAGCTCATCTTTTGCATTTACACCTATAATGACGACAATACCTGTGAGAGTTTACGCAAAGGTTTCGATTGTTGTCGACTTGCGAATTATTATCACTATTTTATGATGGAAATACTACGTAGGTATTTTCGGCTGCCAATGAATAATTGTGTAAATATTGTTTAGGTTTTATTAATAATACCTACTTAGAGTGTCAGAGAAAGCTTTTTTTATAGCACCAGAAGTGTGGTTATAAAATATAGAAAATTTAATAGATCTGGCCCGAATAACGAAAGAAAAAAGCTCCTACATCTGCTGGCAAGTAAATGGTTTTTTCAAATAGAGTATATTATTTCAATTTTCATTAAATTGCTTAAACTTTTCCGACACTAGTAAAAACTGTCGGTAGGATGGAAAAAATCACAACTTTCTATGCCACATGCTGTTCAAATATTATTATTTATTTATTTCATCGACAAACAATGCAGTCGATATAAAAGAAAAAAGACAAAAATTAAAACATTAAACATCTAAATTTTAGTCCGATTTGTAAAGTATGAAATCTCTTTAACGATAATAAAAAAGATTCATAACGCCTTCTCTAATTAATACCAATAAAGGAATTTGAATCTTTTTTTAAAGCATTCGAGAAAGGCTGAAATTATGTGCGAGGCATGATGAGATTTCTTGCTCTAAAAAGTTAATAATTCCAATGATGGACATTATGTTATTATTATTCATTAATTAACAAGAATATAATACTAGAGTCGAGCGGGCCCAACATTCAAGAGAGTTGAGTGAGAGAGAGAGTCCACTCCCACAAACAATAAATATGTTTTGTTATACCAGATGTTTATTATAAGTAGTTTTGTATAATCCCAATATAAATAATCTTAATAGTTTTCATTATTTCTTAACTCATCTTAATTAAGTTTTCTTTCCTGATAAAAAATGCATTTGAATATCCATTTAATAAAATGGAATAGAACAAATTGTCAAAGCTCTTAAGTTTTCAACCTAATAGGTTTCTGACTTTTTCGAACCCATAAAGTATATATATTCTTGATATCAAAACGATACAAATCGACGTCCATTCGTCTCGATGAGTGCTCAGAGAAACGAGTTTATTTGAATTTTTTTACTTTACTCCCCTTTTCCAGATGAATAATTTCATTAATACTGTGTACAATGCGTAAGTTACATAAATTCCCTTTGTCAAATTTTTGGTTTATTCCTAAAAGATGGCTCTTCCTTAAATTCCCCGTAACTGCGACTGCGACTGCGACTCATGCACAGCTTAATTACCTAAAAAGTTTCGATATTATGCTTCTTTTGCATAGCAGTTTCTAATCATTTGTTGAAATAAACAAATGTATTAAAGCAATCAATGTTCAACTTAGTCATGAAACAAACAATCTGGAATTAGTTTTTCTAAATTTCAACCTCAAAACAATCAAACAAACAAACATTGCCATGCAACTTTTATTAAAAACAAAAACTACACATTTGCTTATTCAGCCAATTTGGCAAAATTGAAAACAAAAAACTTTATGATTTTTTTGCAAACATTTTGTTAAATTAAAGCCACTATAGACGAGTGGTATAGTACCTGCATTTAATGGAATCAAAAAACTCTGGTAATTACTATTAGGCAAACAATGCGAAATGCAAAATCGGAAGCAAAGTAAATGGAGATGGCGGTGGTGGTGGCGGAGGGTCCCACATAAATTAAGTTTGACAAAATTACACACAGTTGCACATTAAAACCCAAATCACGGGGATAGTAAATGGGAAAAGAAGCAATTTCAATTAAAGCTAATTACAACCAATATCGACTGCCAACAATGTCAAGCGTCAAATGCGACAATGCCAGTATCGTGGACAACGCTAGCGATGCCATCGAAGGTGGGTGGTTAGGTGGCTGGTTGGGTGGTTACATGGGTGAGATAGTCAGTAAGTCAGTGAGTGGTTGAGTGGATGAGCGAGCCGTTGCCGTTGCCGATGTCGATGGCACAGATACAGTTTGACGGAAAAATAAGAAAATATGTTAATTGAAATAACGAAGACTGCATACACTAACCAACTGCTGCTGCATTCAAAATATTAGGCCAAGGGAAGATCTGATCTGAACCACCAATCATGAAGAGGCTTATATGATGGATGACTAAGATATATTCTTTCATATTTTAAATTTTTAAAGTACGTTTTTTAACCTATATAGAAGAAACTAGGCTTTGTTTTTTAAGCTTTAAAGCTAAAATTTAGTTTTTCAACTGACCATTTAGAGGAAACGTAGCTTTTTTAAACCTTTTATTGCTCTACAATTTAAGAAGCTAAACATTTTAAAATAATTGCTGTACTTTTCTAAATTGTTAACACCCTTAATTTAATATTAATTCTTTTCTTGCTCAAATCTGCAAAGTGTTAATAAATGTCTAAGATGGCGAAGAATTTAACTAAACAGAAAGAAGTAGCTTTGATTTCTGTGATATAATTTAATTTGTTATTTAATTTTCATTTCAAATAACTGAAGTTTTTATTATATTATTTTACATTTGTAGTTCATTTGAATATTGTTTGTGTGAGCAATTACGGGAAAGCTAACAAATAAAATAATATATAAATAATAATTTTAAGAAACCTAAAAATAATTAAATATATATTATTAAATATTTATAAATGATAACTTAGTTTTGTTCAAACTTGATGGTGAATGGTTAATCTGTAAGTCTGGAAAAAGCGCCATGGCTAGATGAACTCCTCAATATATGGTAGTAGAATAAATCAATAATGTGTATATATTGCCAACAGTTTTGTACTATTACCGTACACTAACAAGAGTATGCAAATACCAGTACATACAATAGCTACACTGAGCAAAAAAGCATAGCAATTGTTACTCTAAGAGCAAAATCTGATTGACACACCAACAAGGATGCCCACCGGGCAAGTACAAAGAGTGGCTGCCATTCACACTCGCTCACTTACTCGCTTATTTACACACACACACACACACACACACACACACACACGTACACACACACTGTCGAACAACCCACGCAGCATGGCATTGTCCTGAGTGCGCCAAAATGCGCTCACGGGCATAAGTAAATGTTGTTGTCACCGGCGCTGTTGGTGGCCCATGGCCAATGCTGATGCAGATGCAGCTGCCACGGAATAATTAAAGCAAATTTGCACTTCAGACAGTCAACCGTGGAAAACAACAACCAACAGCACCAGCAACAGCAACAACAACAGCACCAGCAACAACAACAGCACCAGCAACAACAACAGCACCAGCAACAGCGACAACAACATGCCCACAATTCTGGAAACCCACAACAAGAGCACGAGCTCAGGTACTCGTCAGTCGACAGCATCAACAATGGTGGGCGGGAGCATGCGGACGCATAACAACGCCAGTGAACCGACCGACCAAACAGCCAGAAAAGTATGTGAAATATAATATGGAACACGACAACAAAGCCAGTGAGTAGCATAAAGTTGTGCAGGAGCGGATTTGAATGGAGCAGCAGCAACATCCACTGCCTTTCAAAAGGCTATTTATACATATAGCCAGTTTGCATAGACGGCTCAGACTAAAAGCGAACCTAACAAAACTACATAATGAAAAAAGGTTATCTCCCAGACAGATTTCTAAAAGACTGTGTAGAAGCCTTTGCCTGGCAGTTAGCCTATTCACATAAAGCAAGTGTTTCATATTCATGCTCGTATGTTAAAGACACATTCAAAGCCACATGAAAAGATTAATGGAATGGGATAGGAGCCTTTCCCAATAACGAAACTAAAAATATATGTTTTTAGTTCTTTAAGATGAAATAATACTAGCATATTAAATATTCAGTAAAGATAAGTAAAAATTTTACTCAAACTGCAGGGGAATACTGGCTACATATATAAATCTTACATACATATATAAATCTTATTAAATACTTACATAGTTATTTAATATTCAGTAAAGATCATATTTATACTATAAGAGGAGATTTAAATTGTAGTAGATTAAATATATTAAACGATAAAGGTTGAACTATATTACGAGGGATATTTGGTTTATTATTTATGAGAATTATTGGAGGAAGAATATAAAATTGATTAATTTTTCCTTCTCCTTATATAATTTGTTTACCAATTTATATAAAGTTGTTAACTTTATTTGTTTGTATTATTGTTAAAATATTTCTCAAAAGGCAGTCAAATATTTGCTATAATACATATGTACATATATATATAAATATAAATATATAAATATATATATAAAATCTTTAAATAATATAACAGTAAATACTTTTTTATTTATTAAATTCATAAATTGGTTACAACAAAGTCCCTTAAAATATTTTTGATCCTTTTCTTCCGCATAATATGGTCAGAAACAAATTTCGTAGTTTTCTTCAACTTAAATCCTAGATTATCAGACTATGACTATTTTATAAATTCGTTACACAAGGCCCTTAAAAAAACTTTTGAACCATTTTCTTCTGCATGATAGGTGAGAAAATAATATCGTAGTGTTCCTTAACTAAAATCGGGAGCGGATGATTATTTGTGTGATTAATCCGAAGTTGCGAGGCTTATATATTCATAAATAATAATATTTTGCAACATATTTAAGCACAGAAGTGCGTATACTTGCAACAGTTTGCAGTTCATTCCGTTGATTCTTCACACAATTATGTTGCCCTCATAAATATGCTACAATTTTTTGTTGCTTGCGCCCCAGGCGCCCAAAAATAAATGCCCTTCAAATAGTTCTGAATGCTGCGCGACGGCAAAATGAGAGCGCGCGCAAACGAACCGAAATAACAACAACAACAACAACAACAGCAGCAGAGGCAAGCGTGTGATGCTGAGCGCGACAAGGACCAGAATGCCAACAGCAGCAGCAACAACAATAACAACAGCAGCAGCAGGAACTATGTGAAAAGCCAACAATAAACTGAGCTTGCGCCAAATACGAGATGTGGGGAAAAGCGCGCTGCCGACTCTCACGCGGAGACAACAATAGCGAGTCGATGGGAACAACAACAAAATCACATATACATACACACACAGCTAAACTCGATGGCAGAGCAACAGCAGGACCCGAAGAGCGTCCTGGCGTCTGGCAATCAGTCGCATTGAACGGTGAAACCGACCAGGCGGCCACATCATTTTTGCGCATCCCTGTCAAAGTCCAAACTCTAAAGTTTTCCTGCCCGAAAGATACCAAATGCTGATGCCAGAAGAAATAAAAAGTGGCTAGCAAGGAGGAAAGGAAAAACAGACAAACAGACAAGTTGAAATTGAACTGTGCAAATTGAAAGAAGAAGCAGCTGCCAGCCACCAGTCAAACAAATTGGAGAGCACACGCACTGCCTCTGTATTAGTAGCAGTAGTGGTTGCTGTTGTTGTTGTTGTTGCTGTTGCTGCTGCTGCTATTACTGTTACTTGGGAGCATAATATTTTAACGCAATTAGAGACAGCAGCACAGCATTCGGATTCGGTGCCAGAGCAGGAACGAACGCGCAAGCAAACGGACACGCAGCGCGGATAGAAAGCAAAAGCAAATAGGAGAACACACCACAAATAATACAAAAAGAAGAAAAAAAAACAGCACACGCAGCAAAAAAGTTTCTCTGCTTGAAAATTATACATTTCATTCCAAAAAAGATCAAGAAGTGAAGTGAGTGCGCGTGAATTTTTTACCATCCAAACAAAAAAGTGTCAAGCGCACCAACTACAACAACAACAACAATAAATTAGTACCTCGAAAATAGGGAAAAAGGTAAAGGTAGTGCTAGTGGTAGGTTGCTGCTCAATTAGGCGGAAAATACGCTGCAAAAAGAAAACGCAAGGTGCAAACAAATTGTTGAATATACTTCGGGCAAGGTGACTAAAAAAAAAACCAGAGACACAAAATAAAATTAAAGCAAGTCCATGTACTATACTATATATCCATATGTATGCAGCGTAAATAAATTATAAAAAATCGAAAGTGTAAATTAGGCATACATAGATAATTTAAAATAAAAAAAAAAAACTAACTGCGAATCGCACAGCGAAAGCGAAGACCACAAAAATTGGCGGCGTAAAAGTTAAAAAGGACAAAGGCGATTAAGCAGATTTTATTGGAAGTGCGGGACGCGCGGAGGAAGCGGCAAAAGCGACGGCGGCACTACGAACGCCACGTAAAAAGGTGAGTGCAAATAAGTCATGCAAAAAAGAAGGCAGGCAAAGCAAAGCAACGAATTAGAAGCAAAAGGCAGGCACTACGCTTGTTCGTGTTTTTTTTTTTCTTCTTTTTTTGTATTTTATTTTTTGTTAGAGGGCGCCCACAAGAAAAACGCCCCAAACAGATTTTTCTTGAAAAGTGACAGTCGTAGCCGTCGTCATCGTCGTTGGGTCGCTGTTGCTGTGTCTGCTCTTGTTGTTGTTGTTGTGGGTGGCCTATGCCGTTGGTGTTGTCGTCGTCGCGACGCCTTGAGAGGCTGCGTAGGCGTCTCGTGAGCATCGCAGCCATTGCTGCTGTCAAGCTCATTGTCGGCAAAAAGCGCGAGCAGGGCACGACGAGCTGTTATACTTAGGCACACGCACACACACAAACACACACAAGTAATCGTTCATACATACTATATAAGTAGTACATACACACATATCTCGAAACAAGCTTGTTAATGTTGTTCTTGCTATGTTTTGACCGTGTTTGCTAGCTGTTGTTGCTCCTGTTTCTTGTTAAGTTGCTTGTTGTTATTGTTGCTGCAGCACCCCGCTCTACACTCTTCTCTGTATAAGAAATTGTGCTTTCATGCTACCTGTTTTGCTGTTGTGCTATAATTAAAGGTTTCTTATTTTTCGTAATTGCTGCTGTAACTCCGCCATTGTTCCACATCACTGCTTCAGATCCTATTAACATTTTTTCAATTTAATTAATTATTTATTTAAAAGACCTCCTATGCGTTGTAAAATCTGCATACGAGCAGTGGGAAAAGGGTATAGCACGGTGGCTTTACGCTAAGATGTATAACACAGCTAGCCGAAGGGCAAATAATATTCCCCCACCGGGTCGGAGGCGTTAATTAGACATTATTGTAATTTGATTAAATGTCTCCTACTTAGGCTTTTCTGGCTTCTAAGATGATTTTTATAATTTTTATATATTTTTCTCCTATGCCGACAGTCGATATTTCGATAAATAAAAATAACTAAATAAAACTCAAATTATTTTATAATATTATAGGGGGCAGAAGTATATGTTTTAGAGAGTAGAGAGTTTATATAATCGAGATATAAATGAATGTAATGTGAGTCACTAATACGTTGTACTTCTTAATTAAACTCTTCAATTCAAGATAGACTAATCGACCTATTTGTTTGGCATTTCAAATTGCTTGCCTGAAAAAATAAGATATTTGTAAATGTTCTGCCATTCTATTCTATTCTTTATTCTATTTTCATGTTTAAAATAAGTTACCTATAATCGTATCATTGTACCTCAGTTCAACATTTCTAAATCGCAGCTTTAATGTAAAATTTAGGCTATGAAAGAATGACATTGTTGCTTTCTAAAAGCTATATATTCTAAATATTCTAAAATATATTTGTTAATTCAATAAATTGTTGCCATGTCAACCATTCAACAATCTGGGTATAAAAAAAGTTCCTTAAAAATTAATCAAATGGAAAAGAACTTCAAAGTCACTATAATTAACTATATTTTAATATTATTAAAATATTGTTTGAATCCTTTTGTTCCATCCTTTTGTTTTATAATTATAAAGGCAGGCTTCCTGCCATAGTCATTAACTCAATTCTAAAACTCAATTTTCAAATCACTGATCCTAAAAAAATTTATAGTAATGTTACGCCATATTTTTGTGTTTATAGCATTTTTCTTAATTCTTGTTCGTTAGTCACCAAAAAAATATGAAACAGGACGCTATCCTAAAACAAAGGTTCCTATCTGATATTTTTTGTCAAATTATTCTTGTTGACGTAGTGGATTGTTTTTTCTAATATGCCGTTGGATTTAATCGTTCGTGTTGATAGTGTTGTTGTAAGATACCTGTTGTTGTAGCACCTTTCGCTTATGTTGTTGTTGCTGTTTCTATTTCCCAGGCTGTCGTGTTAAAAACAAACATAAGCAAACAGGCAACACAAAAAAGAAAATGCCAAAGAGCAAAGGCAAACCCAAACCTGGGCGACAACAAAAACAACAACAATAAGAATAGTAGCAGCAGCATTAACAACAAAAACAACAACAACAATAGCAGCGCAGACGACGACAATGATGGCGGCGACGGCAAAAGCTGTTGGCGGCAACGATAACTCATGTCCTGCTGACATTTTTGGGTCAAAAACTAAAATATTATGTGCAGGCAGTTGTGTGTGTGTGTCCCTTTGGGTGTCGGTGTGTGTGTGCGTGAGTGGTGTTTTTGTTTTTGTTTTTGCTGTTGTTGCTGATGGTGTTGCTATTGCCGCTGTTATTGCTATTGTTGTAGTTGTGTATGTGGCTTGTAGTCATTATTTCATGGCATGCCAAGTCGTGCCAACCTGTATGTCCATGTCCCTCCCTCTCGCTCACTCACCCCTCTGTATATGTGTGTGTGTGTGCGTGTACGACTATATTTATGTGTCTGTCAGTGTTTGTATGAGTGTGTGTGTGTGTGTATGTCTCTGTCTGTGTGTGCGTGTATCGCATTCCGGCAGATTAAAATTGCATCCGGCTAACAAACGACACAAGTATTGTGCGTTCGTTGATAAAACAGAATTACCAACACAGACACACGCACACACACACACTAGCACACTAAGCCCCAAAGAACCGTTTAGCTTAGAGCGGTGAGAAGCTCTGGCAAAGCTTCAAACAAAAAGAAAAGCAAGCCAGCAACAACAAAAAAATAGTGAAGGCCAGAGAGCAGGAGAAAAAAAAACCCAACAAAATGAATTCATGGCAAAAGTCTTAATTGAAATTTTTGCTTGAAATGTGTTTAGAACGTTTTACGCTACTTTTTTTCTGCTACTTTTCATCTGCTGTTGTTGTTGTTGTTATTGTTGTTGTGCCACGTAAATGAAAGCGAGCCAAACGACAGGAATTGACGGCACGGCCTGAGAAGGCGGCTCAGGAAAAAGCAGGCATACAAAATGGTGGCGGTAACGGAAATACTGTTGAAAATCAATACAAACATAAGTACCAATGCACGCATGTTAATATAAGCAGATAATAATCTTATGTTATCTACAAGTTATCTGTCACTGTTGCATACGAATGTAAGCATAAAGAATATGTATAGCAAAAGTGTCAGTCTCCAATAAAACTCTAAAGCGAACAGACGCACGGCGGTCCGCGACTATTGTCTTTTACTTTACTCCTACTGAGCCCTTCCCTTTTCAGCGAATATATAATCTATTCAATAGGTTATGGGCCCAGGGCATATAGGCTCATAGGAGAAGTTCAAAGTATTGTGAAATAGTAATCGTTTGGTGACTCAAGAAATATAACATTTAAAAAATGAGTGCGCTATATCAAATAGACAAATTGGAAGAGCATAACTATGACTCATGGAGCATACAGATGCGATCTGTCTTAGTGCACGCGGAATTGTGGAGTGTGGCATCAGGTGCTGAACCTAGTAATACTGAGAGTTCAAGGCCAAAAGATGAAAAGGCATTAGCAATTATAACGCTAAGTGTAAAAGCTTCACAATTGGGCTTCATTAAAAATTGCAACACTTCGTACGAGGCATGGAAAAAGTTAAAGGACGTTCATCAGCCGAGTGGACCTGTACGGAAAGTGTCGCTGTACAAGAAATTGCTAGGCAAACGCATGTTTCAAGGCCAAAGCATTTCAAGTTACATACACGAATTTAACGAAATTCTGGATGGTTTGTGTACAGTTGGCATCGAATTAAATGATGAGTTAAAAACAATCGTGTTGTTGTCAAGCTTGCCCGAACCATACGAAAATTTTGTCGTCGCCATTGAGACGCGTGACAATTTACCGTCATTTGATGTGTTATGTATCAAGCTGATGGAAGAGGGAGAGCGCAGAGGCAATGCAGATGGAGAGAGCGAGAATGCAAGAGCATTTATAGCTACGCAGCAGATCGTCGCGCATTCCAAAGCGAATTCAAAAAGGAATTCAAAAATCGTCGTTTGCTACAACTGCGGCGAAAAAGGGCACTACAAGGCACAGTGCAAGCGTGAGAAAATTCGCGGTGAAGGGAAAAAGCAATCGACAAAGAAAGAGATGGAAAAGCAGAGCAGCTTGTTAAATGCGTTGGACGTTGGAAAGATAGAGAACAACATGTGGTGTCTGGACAGCGGAGCAACAAGCCATATGTGTTGCGATAAGACGTTATTTTCAAAATTTATTGCGCACACTGAAATGATCGGTTTAGCTGACGCTGGTTTCCTGAAGGCCGAAGGCAGAGGAGAGGTGAAGTTACAGACAGAACTTTGTACCTTGGTGTTGTCAGATGTACTGTATGTACCGAAAATGAATGGCAACTTTATGTCCGTCAGCCGGTCAGTGCAAAAGAACAATGTTATACATTTTGGGCCACATTTTGCTAAAGTTATACAAAACGGCGAGTGTATACTGAAAGCGAATAAAGTTGGGAACCTTTATATGTTTCAAGGCAAACAAAATAGGTGTTATTCCGCAACTGAATCAGATGGTACATTGTGGCATAAGCGTTATGGCCATTTAAATTTTACCAGTCTGAAGGAAGTGATCAGCAAAGAGCTAGTGCGTGGTATTGGAAAGGTTTTTTTCCCAGACAACTTGAATTGCAAAACGTGTATGCTAAGCAAAATACATGTACAGCCATTCCCAAAGGTAAGCACTAACCGTGCCGAAGAGCTGTTGGAACTGGTTCATGCTGATGTATGCGGCCCATTCGACACGAAGTCACTTGCTGGATCCAAATACTTTCTGACCTTCATCGATGACAAGTCCAGGCGTATATTTGTTTATTTTTTGCGGAAGAAAGATGAAGTGTTCAGTAAGTTCGTCGAATTTAAAAACTTGGTTGAACGGCAAACAGATAAAAAGCTCAAATGTATTCGAACCGACAATGGAGGCGAGTTTGTCAACACAACATTCAACGGTTTCCTGAAACACCATGGTATTGCAAGGCAATTGACCGTGGCTTATACTCCGCAGCAGAACGGCGTGGCGGAAAGAGCAAACCGGAC